GGGGGTGTGGCACATCAAATCGAAGACGGATGAAAAAAGAAGTTGAATAATCCAGACTGAACATCTTTAGTAACACACATGACGAAAAAAACCTCTTGTGGTATCCGCAGGCACTGCTGAAAATCGTTCCAAAAAGTCGCCCTGAGAGACATCAGCTGTGCCGAACGAAACAAGTCTAAGGGCAAACGTAGTCCAAATGTTTCTTATTCTCCCAGGCTTCGGTCAACAGCAATGAGTTCAGTCACCATCTCGTGATTATCCTCCTCAACACTGTAATACTTCCAAAATGCCCTAGACTTCTTTTTGTAAATGGCCAGTCCGCGAGGAAATTTTTTTAATAGAATAAAAACAAAAACACAAACCAAAATAATTAAATAAAAAAATAATTTTACCCCCCCCCCCCATAAAAATAAAAACGATCACATTAAGATTTGGTTCCAGATGACGCCGTCAGTCCACTGTGAGTCAGTCAACGGCGCGAAAACGGTCATTCTTCTTCAGGAACTGAACAAGGAGAGGAAAACGACTGGGGAGTGGAGCAGTAGCCTAGTACTAGTAGTAGGACAATGCCCACACTGACAGACACAGAAGCAGACAGAGCAGACCACGCCACGCCAGAGAGGGCTACCCACCAACCGCCCACGAAGTAAAAGTCCTTGTCGTATTCCCGAGGCCAGTGTTGTATCCCTCCGGTTCATCTCTCTACAGCTGTACGGGGCACGACATGTCGTCTCCCTCCTTTTCGGCAATGGTTCGCAGGAGCGCCGGCACGGAACTAAATATCACACGCTATCGATTTCAGAAACATTCGCCTCCCCCCCCCCCCCCCCCCCCCTTCCTTCTTCACTGTCTTATACTATGAAATTCTTCTTAATGGACGGAAAGATGTTTAAGGAGAAAAAGAGGGGAAGGGAGGGAGGAGATGATTGGGGGTGGGATTGGTAGGTAGGAAAGAAAGGAGTGGAATGTCGTGCGATCATTAATAATATTGGTGCAGCTGTATGGGGAAGCTGAAATTTTGGGGTGATGGAGAGTGAGTGAGTGAGTGAGTGAGTGAGAGAGAGAGAGAGAGAGAGAAAAAGA